CATTTATCCCAAAGGCCACTTGATTGGCTGTTTTCCCTTATGTCTGGCATGGTAATCTGTTTAAAAATTAAAGTAACTGAATCTTGAAGAATGGAAACTCAGGTGAATCCTAGAGGAAAACTAAAGGTCATGACCCCCACTCTCCTCAGAGCACCTTGTCAGGGAGCCTAGATTCCATCTGCCTTGAATCATGCATATTGTGGGGGTACCTTGTAGCACTCATCACATTTCAATTCTTATTTGTTGCCAGTCTCCCTGTCAGAAGGGAATAAGCAGCATCTGGCAGGTTGACAGCTGTACCCTCGGAGCTTAGAACAGTGCTGGCACAGTGTAGATGCTCAATAACACCACTGGACAGAAAAAAAATAAATAAAGGGAGCAAGAGAGGAAGCGAGAGAGGGCAAGAGTCCTTGGGCTCTCAGTGTTAGAGGATGGGGATTTAGCTGCTGATCTCTGCTTCTCTTCTGCTTCTCCTCAAGAAGCATCAGCACACATCTCAGTAATTAGTCTCTCTCATGAGTCAGAACTTGTACCTCTAGGACCTGACCCCTATTTAAAAAGAAAGATCAACATCACATTCATTTTTCTCAGTCCTGAAGTTTGAGACTAAGCTATTCCTCTTATTATCTATCTCCTTCCCCTGACATCTCTCAAAGCCGCCCCACCATCCAGGTGGTCAGTGTCATTTTCCCAGCGGCCCTGGCTGACATTCAGGGTGGCCAAAAGCATGGAGGGACAAGCATAGCTGAGGCCAGCCCAACGGCAAGCTCCTGCACCTTGTTGAAAGTCTGCCCCTAAGCTGCTAAAACTCAGTTTGCCCATTTTCAAAGCTTGTTGAAAGTGCCAGAGAAGTAAAGTCCCTCTGGGGATGGCTCTGATGGATGTGGGGGATAGGTGTTCCAGCTCCCTGGCCCCTGGGTTGGGACAATGCTAAGATGTGTGTTTTACGTCATTTCCTAGAGCTTTCCCTTTCCCCCATCAAGAGATCACGATTGTCTACTCTGCTAGCTGGAGTAATGTGGCATCTCAGATTGGGTGGCTTCCCTTCCCTGTACTATTCATCTGGTATTCTGCACCTCTCAGGTAAACCGGGTGCCCTCAAACCTCTTCTCAGAGTCTTCTTCCGGACGATGTCCTGCACATCATTTCTCATGGTTAGCCTTTCTCCAAGGAGCCCAGAAAACTACCAGTGGCAAAACACTGGGAAGTTGATGCCAGCCAGCACTGTGGGGCCCCGGCATGTGTGCTTTCCGGGAACTTCAAGTTTTCTAGTCCTCTATCCCTTACTCATGAGGTCTTGGCATGCCTGAAGCATTCAGAAAAGATCAGACTCACACAGAGCTCTGGCTGGCCCCATGGAGCAGGCAGGGTCTGGCCTTGGGGTCCATAAATCAATGCCTTACGACTCCGTGAAAAGAACAGCTCATAATGTGCAAAGTTCAAAGACTATTATTTTCTGTTGATCTTTCTTCATCCAGTAATGATTCCCCAAAACACAACCTTAGAGTTTAGTGCTGAGCAGCTGGAAAAGGTCTCCCGTCTGCACATACAGGTAAATATAGGTGACCTTCCTCCATTATAGATTGGTGCCAATGGCATCCAGGTACACTGGAACATGAAAATGACACTTGGTTTGTTGGGAGATGAATGCTCCTTCACGCCAACTGCATGTCCCTTTACCTTCCCTTCCCTAAGGGGTATGTTGCTGGAATAATAAGAATAATTGCAGCTTTAACAACACATTGGCATTTCCTGGACATATATTATGTTCTAAGCCCTGAGTAAAGCATGTTGTCTCATTTAATCCTTGCATATAGTTCTCTAGGGTAGGTACTATTATATACCCACCTTGTCTGGACACAATGTGATTGAGGCTTCTAGAAGGTTCAGTAACCTGCCTGAGGTCTTACCTTGTTAAAAAGCTGGGCAGAGCATCAAACCCAGCTCTAGGCCACAATGCCATGTGCAGCACCAGTTACATGATTTGCAAGGCTCGGTGCCAAATTAAAATGTGGGGCCCTTGCTCAACGATTATTAAGAATTTTAAAATGGTGATGGCAGAGTGTAATACCAACCATGGGGCTCTTCTGATCATCGGGCTCTGGGAAGCTATACAGGTCACAGTCCATGAAGCTGGCCCTGGTTATGTGGACTCAGAAGAAAGTGATGTAAGTGAGGACAAGGACCCCAATGTTTAACTGTTTAACCCTAGAGACTGAGCAATGATTCACATATATTAAAAGTGATTCAATGAGCCTAGATATTTGGTCAAAGAGCTGGTGACTTTCTGTCAGGAGCTAAGTCAGTTCACCTGACAAAATGCATAAATATTTCCCCTCAGCTGGGCCTGAAAAGGGTCCATGGTGAAGAATGTAAGAGAAGGTAATTGACTCCAACATAGTACATGAGAAAGAGCCTGTGCCTTGAAGCCAGAGATATGACCACAGATTCTGGCTTATCTACTGGCTTGTGATGTTAGGCATGCTCCTGAGCCTCTCTGGGGTTCCGTTTTCTCCTATGGATAATGGAAAAATGGTATCCACTTCTCAGGGTAGGGAATGGCATAGCGGAAGAAACTATACAGTGTATATAAAGGTCTGGGAACACGTGAGTGCTCATTAAATGCTACAATAGTTTAATGGCTGTTTTCACCATGAAGTTTGTGAGACAGTTGAAAGAACACATGATTTGAAGGTAGATGATACAGGTTGAGTCCTAAACACTGTCCCCCATCTATTATTTATGTGAACCGGGCAAAGTCACTGAATTCTTTCCAGGGTCAGCATCCCATTCTGTAAAATGGATTGGTACAATGTCAATGACACATCGATACATCGGATTCTATGAGCTACAAACAAGCAGGGCATTATGGAAATAGAAGAGGTAGCCATTCCTACAACCAGTCTGGTTTGTTGCGGTAACTCACAAGGAGGGAGGGGCATTGCAAAGGAGGATGCCGTCTCCTTTCTGATTCCCTCTGTCCTCATGGATGCTTTAGGGGTCATTTTGTGTGAGCTCTCCTACAGGGCGCTAAGTGATTTTTCCTCTAAAAGCTTTCCACAACATTTCCACATTCTTAACCCAAAATTTGACTGACCCCATTCCAATTCCTGATTTTATAGTCAAACTCAGAGGATGCTGAAAAAGAAATGATTCAGGCTAAATTCTACATTGCTGGAATAAGCTATTCCATACTGATATCCAAGCTTTTATGTATTTTTGTAGGATAATTCTAATCATAAATAGAAGTTTGAGATGATTTATGTTTTGCTGGAGATGCTTCCATCCTGATTTGCTTTATACTTTTAGAAATTCAATGTATGTAAAGGATTGCATTTTTCTTTGAAAATATGACATGTATATAAAACAATAAAATTTGAAATTCTTTCTGAATCTTTAAGGTAGGGCAAAGTGGGAGGAAAAGTGGACATCGTCTAATCATATACACACAATATACAAAGACATGCACATGCTCACAGCCGCCTCGAATGTCACCATTGTCATTTACATTTAGAACACTTTTCTGGCTCATCTTGAATTCTAGTCACTCACGTACAGTGCCCGGTACCACAGATGGAAACCGAGAATCATTTTTCTGCTCTGCTCCAACTCCAGCCTCTTTAATAGCTTTCCCCGTTGGTTCTCCTAACTTGTTCTGAACATCGGCTTGCATCTTAACATCATTAAGATTTCTGTAAACACCAATCCCAAATTCCAGGGTCTCTCTCATGAGGGCCTCTCTTCATCAAAAGCAGCCTACTGAGAGGTGCCACAGGAAGTTCTACCTTGAAGCGATCTGATCCACCTGCACCTGCCCACTCTCCATCTTTCCATGGCTATTCTCACCCCTTTGCCTCCACTTGCTCCCCTAAAAGCCTTCTGGCACACAAACGGAATCCCCTCTCCTTTTTACAGAATGCACTCAAATCTCAGAAAGGAGAGGGTCTCCTGCCCCTGGGGATCTGATATAGTGCACAGATACCCAGCTCCTTGAAGGTTTTAGCACCTTGCATACAATTATTCACCTGGTAGTCTAGGCGGGTTACCAAGACAATACTGCCAGAACCTCATGTATCTACATGTTATTGATACATCCCTTGATTCAGCCAATGTGGGGAAAATAACCAGCCAAAGCAGTTCTTGGGGTTCCACCTCCCATCTGGCCCGCTGAACGACTCTCTTATTTTGTTTTGGCATAATCTAGACACAGCCACAGTGATACACTTAAAATGGTGTTTTTTCACTTGAATGCATTTTAAAGCTTAAAATCAAATTCCAGCCTTATAGGAGAGATTTTTCTACTTTGTTCTTCACTTTCTCAAGTGTTAGACTTAGGAGTGACTTCTACTGCTGGTCACAGAATGCTTTAATTAGTATCTGTTGGGCCAGAAAGGGATATCGAAATTGTAAAATCTTCCCTGACAGAAAGCTTAAACTTGGGAAAAAGATAAAAGGAGCTCTGTAGCAGCTCTGAGTCATTTCCATAACAGTAGGCACAAGTATTTCCAGAGAGAGAAATAAAATGTCTTGCTTTTGGCCCTTTGACTGAAGACAAAGGTTTCCTGTGCACATCTTCTAAGGAATGGGGAAAAAAAGTCCTACCTGTTTTTCCAAAATTAAAAGGCAGTTCTGAAAAGAAATAACTGAGGAGCTTGCAGTGGGGAACCTTAATTTCTTCGTAGCTCCACTGCACTGCAAAGTCTAGCCTCATGACCTACACATTTCCAGAGTGTCCAACATGCATTAAGACTTAGATGTCAGTCATCCTTGAATGATCACCTTCAGAAATAGGGGAGGCATTTTCCTAGCTTGCCACTCCGCAGTCATGCTCTGAGCTGCATCTTTCCAGCTCTTGCTTCTATCAAGGGTTAATAATACGTCAATATTGATGCACACCAACGGTAAGTTGGAGTGGCAATAAAACAGTCTCTAGAATCATCAGAGATCAGAGTATGCCACTTCTCAAGCCATTATGCTAATGATAAGCCAACTTAACATACCTGTAGGTGATCCTTCCATGACATGGCCAATGTAGGGGCCTTCTTGAAAGATTGGTCTGTTGTCATTCTGATCAATCACAATGACTTCCAGTGGGACCGGCCCCTCGAGAGTTCTGCCATTGACATCAGTGGTCTCCACAAATAGCTATTGGAGCAAAGACATTGGGAGAGAAAGATGGCATTAATTCGTTATGAAAATCGAAATCATGCTCTCTGGAGAAAATAGGTTACACTAGCAATTTTATGAGACTTTGGCAATATTCAAACTTTGGTTGCAGTGAATAGTCACTGGGACTAGAAGGGAAACTAAACATTAGAGAATAAAAGACAAAGATCAATTCATGTTAGGTTCTCCCTTAGGAAATTTACATTTAATTTATCCGATCTGCAAAGGAAGTCCAAAAAAAATGCAAACACTCACAATCAGCCATAGCTAAGAAAATGTGTTTATGTTGTTTGTTTTTCCAACATCATTATGCTTAAAAGGAATGTTATGCTAATAAAAATAATTGACTAAGCAGTTATGAACAGAATGTATTAATAACTGAAAGTGTTTATGGTAATGCTTAGAAGAAACTCAGGTCAGTGAGTATGTACAGAGAGCCTTCTGGAGGCAAGGAAGGCATTTGCTGGGTCCTGAATGAGACCTCAAGATTCCTGCCCGCCAGGCCCTTATAATTTATGGGGGAATTTCATAATTCCATGAAATACTTCCATATAGAAAGAGCTATCTTCGGATCTTAAGGATGAAGAAAATAATAGCGTAAAAACATTAGCTTTATTGTTTGTCTTGGAAACAGGGAATAATGTCATGGCATTTTCGGTGAATCATAATAACCTTATGCTCTCATTTTCTGAGCCTAATTCAATCTTGATTTAACTCAGCGGTGACACTAACACTTCTCCTTGGTATCAGTGGAGGTAGTTGAGTGTTTCAGTCAGAAAAAGGCCTCTATAGTTGGAATACTTGAGAAAGGACCTCTGCAGCTGGAATCTCAGCACATTATTAGAAATAATAACCAATGTTGTCTAGTGCTGTTGACCTAGGTTCTCTCCTGTATTATCTTATGGGATCCTCTCAGGAACTCTGTGGCCCTTTTGTGAGGAGGGAATGAAAGCAAACAGAGGTTGTATGGTGGAGTCTAGATTTGACCCCATGAAGTCAGTCTCCAGAGCTTACATTTTAACTGCTATAAACAATGCTTCTAAAGCACTTAATATCTCAGGAATATTAACTGCTGCTATAGTTGCTACTATTATTGCTATCAACACCATTGCAAAACTAGGCCAGATTAGGAAAACAAAAGAGAAACACCTCCGTTACTAATGGGCACGGTTGTGACGGTGTCATAACTGGTTTCATCCCTTTTGGAAAGCGGCGTGGCAGAATTCAACAACAGCTATGAAGAACTCATAGACTTTGTTCTGCTTGGTACCACTCTTGGCTCTATTTGAGTTAGGTTGCGTTACACATATGAAAATATTCATTGTAGTGTTATTTGTAGTAATGAAAGAACTCTGGCATCAACTAAATGTCCAGTGAAAGGGGACTAGTTGAATAAATGTTTGGGCAACAATATGCTAAAATAGAGGTGTTATGTAAAATAATTATTAAACCTGTTGATCTACTTAGACTATTATGTGAAAACACACAAAATAGTATGTGCATCATACATATGTAGCATACACATATGGACAGAATTTGAACTTAGTAAGCAAAAATGAAACCAGATATGCTTGGGTAGATAAATGTATTTTTCATTTTTTTTTAACATTATTTCATTCTTTCACTAGGAAATTTACACACACACACACACACACACACAAATACACATGCTTTGATTTCTGGGACAGATAAAATAATGCATGTACCTTAATAAGAAATTAAAGAGGCAGAGCCTTTAACATCTGCACACAAAGGGAATCTTAGAGTTTACTTTTATTCTTCTATGCTGTTTTAAAAGAAAGAAAGAAAGAAAAAAACTACAAGAATACTGCTAAACAAAGGAAATTAAAACAAAGCCTTGGGGCAATTTCATGCAATAATTAAGGTCTGGCCTTTGTCCTCCCAAAATAGTAAAAGACTTAACTTGAACTTAACCAAAAAAATCTATGTCTAGAGACAACACATACCTTGGATCTGAATTTTAAGCTTCCTGTTTGTTCACAAACTGGCCCCTGTCCATGGAGGGCATGGAGAGAACAAAGAAAGAGGCAGGCCACTCCGGAGAGGCAGGTGACAGGCTTAATAAGCAAGGAAACTTACATACGAGGCCTGTCTTGGGCAACCATAAGACAAGTAGATTTTCCGTGCCTGACCACTGAATCTTAAAAATTTATGTACAGGTATTAACTGGGTTCCATCACCTATACCATCCAGATGGTCTCAATAACACCTTACTTTCTCAAGGCTGTATCTTTGAAAATGGCTCCCACCCTGGGAACGATGGGCATAATGTACATGCTAAGGATGGTAGGTGGAGGGGTGAGGAGCCTCTGACTGCCTAGGTCCAGCTGGTGGGTCAACTGGTAACCACATCCTCTTGGTGACTTCCTCCAACAATTCCACCTTCTATAAGACTGGGCAGTGTCAGAAACCACAAGTAAGATAAACATGCAAATCTATTAGAACTTGAAGGGGTAGACTCCAGATCCATCTCAACATAACAGAAAGACAGACCGACACTAAAGGGATATAATTGATTAGGATGAATTAAAAATGTTCAGCTCAATCTTATAAAATTAATTATATAAGTAGACAGCTCGATAGTATTTTATGTTATAGTACTACCCAGAGTTTGACTCCTGGATTTTTAGTGGAAAACAATATTGTTAAAAGCTAAGACTTAGAATAGCATTTAAAAACAGCAAAGTGTTTTTAAGGGGTATTTATTAATTTTAAAGACAATTTAACAAAAACGCATTGAGGATTACTACATGTCAGTCCCTACACTGAGTGCTGGATATGCATCAGTTAACAGAAAAGACATTCTGGCATGAAGAGACACATGATAAACAATGTAAAATACAAGAACAAGATAATTCAGTTAGAGATAAAGGATATGAAGGGATGAGAGAGGTTGATATATTAAAGCTATATTGTCCAATATGGCCACCACTAGCTCTATGTGGCTAATTAAATTTAAATTAAATAAAGATAAATCAAACAACAAATCCAGATCTTCAGTTGCACTAGACATACTCGAGAGCTCAACAGCCACATGTAGGTGGTGGCTACCACATTAGACAATGCAGATACAGAAACTTTCTGCCATTGTAGAGCCTACTGGACTCTAAAGCAAGGGCTACAGTGTGGTTGAGAGAAAGAACGTGTGTGTCGGCGGGGAGAAGCACCTATATTAGATAAAATAGTTTGGAAGGCTACATGCATACTCTCGGGCCTTTCCCAGAAACCACTTATGGTTGAAGTAACATTTCAACTGAGACTTGAATGACAAGAAAGCAGAAGGAGACAGTCATGCAAAAATGCATGGACAAAGAATTCTAGACAGTAGAAACAGCAAGTGTAAACGTTCTAATCTTGGCATTATTTTAGGGATGGTACTAGTATAAGATGAAGTCACATAATTGGGGCTCCACTCAATTCCAATGGAGGAGACTAACGTTTATCCCGCTATTACGTTCTTTGCATAAACCATTTGGGCAAAGCGAGAAAAGAGGTTGATTCTCTGTGAATTGCTGGGTAAGCCAAAGGAGGGAGGGAGAATGACATCACGCTTGTTCCTAACAAAGAAAAACATAGTAGACTGAATAAAATATATAATAGGAAATGCTAGTGCTTTACTAAGTAGTTCGTGCATTTTTCTAGTGGCATATTCACAATGTGGATGAAAAGTAGCATATAGATATGCATGAAGAAGTTATTAGAAAATGCAGCCTTATCTACTCAATCACTTACTGTAAAGAAATGACATTCCAGGGAGTTTGCATAACTGTTCTCATATAAAGGTCAGATCCACAGTTAGCAAATGCCAAACTTTCTAAAGTGGGGCTCTTAAATTTCAAAGGGTACCTCTAATATCAGAGAATAAATGTTCAATGATGTTCTTGCCTTTCTTCTCTCTTCTTAATTGAAATACCCCAAGCACACAAATACTTAGTCTGAAAAGACTGGAACAATGTTTGTTTCCTTTGAGTCACAAGATATAGTCTAGAGGCTGTGTTTGGGGCTCCAGAAACAAAGCAAACTGGAATGCATTCAAAGGGAGGCATTCTCATGCCTGTTCTTTATGTTAACAGTGAGATGCCAATTAGTAGAAACATACTGTGAGAAAAACAAACAGGCGGCCATTGGCAAAAAGCAATGGAATAATTGCTCAAAGGAAATAGAAATCAACCAGATTCTCACAGACTATCTCCATACCGCCTTCTAGGACTTGAGGGCTTCTATTCTTAGTTTGAGATGTTGATATTCTTGGGAATAATGCAGGGTGACAGGGAGAGAAAGAGAGAAAGAGAGAAAGAGAGAAAGAGAGAAAGAGAGAAAGAGAGAAAGAGAGAAAGAGAGAAAGAGAGAAAGAGAGAAAGAGAGAAAGAGAGAAAGAGAGAAAGAGAGAAAGAGGAAGAGAGGAAGAGAGGAAGAGAGAGAGAGAGAGAGAGAGAGAGAGAGAGAGAGAGAGAGAGAGAGAGAAAGAGAAAGAGAGAGAGAAGGCGGGGCGGGGCAGGGGAGAGGGAGAGAGAGAAAGATGCTCAATAAGTTATACCTAGAAACAGTTGCCCAAGTGTCTGCTACAAGGTAGTTAGTGCCCAATAACTTAAAAGTTATACATTTGACAAATCTTTGTGTTGTGTTCTAGGACCTTGCTATTCAAAGTGCAGACATGGGACCAGCAGCACTGGCATCCCCTGGGAGCTGGTTAGAAATACAGACCCCCAGGCTCTGCCCAGAACCTACTATGGCAGCCCCTGCATTTTATCCCACCTCTAGGGGACTCAGGTGCACATTAATGTTTGTGTGATGCTGCACAGTGACACAGGGAATAGAGATGGAGGCCCAAGGGCCTTGTAGAGCTTGGGAATGGCATTCCCAGGTTCAGATGCATGAAGGTAACTTCCAAAGAGAAGGCAGAGTCATACCACCTGCTAGGAACCTACTGCACTACACTTGGACTCATTTATTACCCT